TTTATATAGATAAATAATTAAAAATATTAAATAAAAATAAAAATAAAACAAGTAATTATAATAAATAAAAATAAATAAATAAAATGATTGTTCCAATACCCTACGATTATAGTGGATACCCTAGAATTTTTATATTTTAAATAACAACAGTCAACAGATATTTCTGTGTCATTTCTTGTAACTCGAAATTAACATTTTCAAGCACGAATTTAGGACTTTTCTTTCAATAACACCATAACATGCAATTAACATGAATATTTTAATTGAAAAAAATAGTCAAGCAAATAATACTCCATGTGCAGCTATTAGAGTCTCAAACACATACTTTCTCACAAATCTCAAAGTGAATAAAAGATCAACTTTGTGGTTGCAATGGCCATCAAATACAATTATTTGCTCTCAACTTCCTACTAAGCATTTTATTGCCCATTTTCCTTCTCTGACACTACCTATGAGAATTTTGGGATGGTTTCTGCAGCAACTACAACTGATTGATTCCATGCAAGGACTTTGGATTCTGATAACCAAGAGATAGTGCACAACCTTCATGTGTTAGAGCTAAATGCATCATCCCTTCTGAAAAGGAAATATAACGCCTAATAAATTTGAGAATTTATCATTATTTTATTTAATTAACATATACGTAAATAAAATATATTAAGAGCACCAATTAATTAAATAATAATGATAATTATTACAGAATAAATAAACAATATAAAGTATGAACATATTAATAATTATTATAAATAACAATAAGCATAAAATAAGTAAATAAATGAGGTTAGGGACACCTCATTAGATAAATATATCGAGAAATTAACATAATTAAATAAACATAAGGATATATAAAATTTAAAAAGATAAGGTTCTCCTCCCTCTTACCTTAAAGTTGTTTATCTTACTTTTTTCTTTATCTTTCTCTTTCGCTTTCACGTTAAAAACCTCCGATCTTTCACTCTCACGTTAAAAAGTTACGTAAGGGAGTGCGTAATTTTGGGTACGAAGATACCATGGGACACCAACGTAGCTCACTTAGAAGGATGGACACCACGTAACTCACCGTACTCCTTTTTGCATCCTTATTTACTTTAAGAAGATTATTATTATTATTATTAATTGTTTTATATAAAAAAAAATTAGATAAGGCCTTGGTGGGATTCGAACCCAGCACCAAGCACTAGAAGTCCCTAAGCACAAGGAATGAAACCACTAAACCATTTTATTTTATATGTCTATAAATCATGTAAATTTATAATAAGTTATTTTTAGTGAGTAATATTTATAATATAATTAGTTAACACGCGCGCGCACACACACACACACACACATATATATATATATTTATTTATTTACTGAACATAAAATTTAATAAAACACTATTATTATTATTATTATTAATTAATTCATGATAATTATATAATTAGAAATAAATATTTCATAATTTTATTTCACTAAAAATGTTATAATAAAATTTATATATATATATATATATTCTCTTTTATATATATATCCATATATATAATTATCATAACTAAAAAAAATTTCAATACACTTAATAATAATGATGAAAATATTGTTAAAAATATTAGGATATTACAATATGTATTAAGTATTTTGACCGTATATTCTTTGTAGATCCACTTGCTATTAGTTTAGCATAATCTTTTTAATTTTGATAATTTATCTTTTTGTATTGTTTTATTTTTAATATTTTTCCTTTTCAAGACATTAATTTTTTTTTTGAAAAAAAATGTTATACCATGAACTTACCATTTTAATTTTTTTTTTTGGAATAGTTAGATTTACTTGATTAGAGATAAGAAAAATATTTGTATCAGTAGATTAGATTTAGTGGATCAAATTTTTTAAAAATCTACACTATTTTATTCCTGAATTTTATTAGTTTCAACTACGTACTATGATTTTTATTGTAAAAACTTTAAAATTAAAATGAGCATCATTTGATTAAATTAAAAATTAAAATCAAAACTTAAAATTAAAATGACATTTAATCAATAATTTAAAAATTAAATAATATTTTTATAATTTCAAGAAATAAATTTAGAATTTAATTGATATATATACAGTGATACTATAAATATTTCTTATTATACAACTGTCATGTATTGTGAGGTCGTTAAATTTTATAAAAAAAATACTAAAAATTATATAATATGATTTTTTTTTATTATGTCACTAGTGTTAAAATATTTATTAATCATTTATTTACATTTTGAAAAATTTTAAATTATTAAAAATAATTAAACCAAATACATTTTTAACATTACTATTTTCTAAAAATAGAAAACACAAACTCAAACTAAGCATATTTTCTAAATTTAAAATATTTAAAATGAAAATTATTTTTAAAAAATAAAAGTAAAAATATTTTCTCAAACCAAATGACCATTATATATTTAGACTCTTCTAGAGCATTACCTATCATTAGATTATATATTAATTGTTTAACTAGAACTGTTTCTAATATTATTTAAGTCACTGGCGGTCTTTACCATGCATAATTAATTGTCAAATATATAATGTATGTTAACATCGTTTCATAGTTGAAGTGAGAAGTATACACAGAAGTAGGTAGGTACCCTCGCGTAGGGCTATAAACTCCTCTCTACCCCCACTCTATGATAATATATGGCATACAAAATTCTAAGCCAAATGAACATCCACATATAATATTAGTACATATTTATGCACTTTAAGACAAATAGTCCGGTATATAAAGTTATCTAAACCAACTACTTTAAATCCATGATTAAAATTACTCAAGATAAGAATATCCATTCTTTTGACGTAGTTGTTGAAGTTATCTCTTTGGATCCTCTTTGCTTGTCCCCAAGTTTTCCCTCAGGGCACATTAAATAAATAGCAATTATTAAGCGGAGTAAACCCAAAATGTTTATTCTAATATATAACATCAAAACCCTTTTTAAGCCCAATGCGAATTTTGAGTTCTTCCACGCTAACTCTTGGCTCCGACTAAACATTTCCTAGATCAACATTCAACTGGGGATTTGAACCTGACAATACCCACTCTGGGACCTTGTGAGTTTTTGTTTTGAAGTTAGCTTTGAACACTCTTCTTTTTATAATTACATATTATTGATTATTTGTTTCTAAGAGCATTCAAAAGGAAATGAATAGCAAAATGATATCGAAATATGTTTCAAAATACTCTCTAGTTTTCTTACTAGAACATGACAGTTTTTTGGTTTTAATAAAAGGCATTTCATAAACCTGATTTAAGGCAGAAAAAAAAAGTAATATTCAATATTATTTTGTTTATGGGTGCACGTATTAATCATGTAATGACTTGTCTCTTTTTATTCTTTTGATATGGTAGTGGCCTTGTGAGAGGTTCTTGTATTCTCCTTATATAACTGTACTTTGTTTATTATATAAGTTTTGCTTATAATTTTTTAAATCATATTTCACATAAATATTCGGTGATAAGTTAATTTTATACTATATTTGACAACTAAGAATTAACATGCCGTTATAAAATATGACTATTATTAGTTAAACATTATTTTAACAATAGAAGAATCAATCATGAAAGATTAAATTGACCTCTTATATTTTAAATATATCACTGATTTAAAAGACTCAATTATTAATCTTAAAATTTGTTATGCATATACTTGATTTTTATTATAACCTTAGTTGTTAATATTTAATTAATTAATGATTATAAATATAAGCCCTTTAATATTGAAAATTTTGGATAATGAGTATATTAATTAAAAATCATTAAATACATCATATTAAATATTTGTAATTTTTAAAAGAAGTGTATGCGATGTTAGAACTAAATATATAAAGACTTAATATTATATACTAGGTAGGCTTAGTTGGGTAAATATTTAAATTTGAATCTTATTTTAAAAAAAAATAGCAAGGACTTAACACTAATTACAAAATTAAAAAATATAACATTTAACATTTAACATTATCAATACATTTCCATTATAAGTTTTAATTTTAAAAATATAGTGATTTTTTAATCATTCTTTCTAGGTAATAATTAAGAAAGTTGTTATTTTAATATAATAATATTTTTAGAATGGTGAATTTGAGCCTAACTCAAATCTACAAAACTAGTTTGTAGAGGATTGTTCTAATACCATCTTAGAATAATGAATTTAAGCCTAACTCAACCTTACAAAACTAGCTTTTAAGGTGAGAGTTATTTTTTACTTATATACTATTCAATTATCTAATCTCTAATCGATGTGAGAACTTGGATTTTTCTCAATAAATATTTTGTAAACACTATATATTTTTAAATGCTTGTTAGCATTGCAAAATTTAATTTTATCTGTTTTTTTGGTCACATTTCCCTACTATTTATCATCTGTCGTGACTTAAATATTTAGTAATAATTCAGAGAATATGTGGAGTTAAACAGAGTGTAAATATTACGGTGTGTGAAAGAAATGGAGACATACAAAGGTGGATAAATAACTCAAGTGGAATGAAAATGCGGCAGACACCTGTGAGTTTTGGGACATTAAATTCACTCAACTGTTTCTTTCTTGGGCTCTTATTCCCTAAGCATTTTTCCTATCTAGCTTGTTGATAATCGGCAAAATGCTAAAGAACCTTATCTGCTTTTTTGTTGTCACTTGTCAGGTTTACTCTTTTCCTAATCCTCGATTGTTTTTGTACTTGTTTCTGCTTTTGATAGGTGCATTATTTTCATGAGGTAAAAAAAGCTGAAAAGAAGGGGGGGAAAAGGGAGTCCAGCCACCTGCAACATTAATTAATTATATGGTCCCAATTTTCTTTGATCCCCGCTAAATTTGAGGTCTACCATTGTCTCAACAAGCTAAAATGAGATCTTATGGCTTTAAACTGAATGTATTGAAAGAAATAGATGAATATATTTAGAACGTGGAACCAAAATTTACAGAATAGTTATTGAGTTATGAGGAGGATTGAAGAGACAAATTAAAGGGCAGCATTGTACGTTAGCACACAGAAGAAAACGAAGGTGCTGGTGAATTTGTGTGCAGAACATCCCTAATACCATTAAGGACCACAGAGAGAGCAAGAGCAACAACAAACACAAGGACAATAAACGAACCCTGCTTTGTCACCCACTATCCCCATCACCAACGTCACAATAATTCCAAGAAATCACAGCACGCTCTTTTCTTCCAAAATAAAATAAAAGTATGAACAGAAAGCAGCACTATAGTCTATATTATAGTAATTAATTAAAATGAAAAAGAGGTCTAGCATTCGTCCCTCTACAGTCTACAGTCTACAGTCTACAGACGCCTCCTTGGTTTGGCTCAAGCTGTCCTTTTGATGAAACACAAACCTCGTACGTAGTGCGGGAAGGGGCGGAAGAGAAGAGTTGGAGAAGGAGGTCGGTGAAAGCGCGAAGGATGTATTTGTGGGTGTGTGTGGGATTGAGAGCGAGGTAGCATAGGAGAAGTTCATGGAGGTAATCGGAGTCTAGCGTGATGTCCAAGAGTTGGCGAGAACGAACCATGTCCTGCATGGAGCGGAGGAAGTCTTTGTAGGGGTTGAGAGAGTATTTGGGGACTCTCACGCCACCCCCTGTGGGAATGAAGAAGCTGCGACTGTCGGGGGACTCTACGATGGAGTTGGAGGTGCCAGGGGAGGAGAAGAAGAACCGCTGGGAGGCCAACACGGAGGCCAAGTCTGGCTCTGTGCTGTCGGAGTCCTTCGTGTCCGTGGAAGGTGGTGGCTGGCAGAGAATGGTGGGGTATTTCGGCTTCAAGAAACACAGATGAAGGTGTTTGGAGAACAGGCTCGGCATCTTTGATCTTTCCACTTTCCACTTTTCACAATCAGAGGGAGACAGAAAACATGCACACTTTCTTGGTCTGCGCCTTATATATAATAAACTAATTCTCTTTCTTTCCAAACTAAAATAAAACCAAACTAGTTACCACATAATTGTAAATCATGATAATAATAAATAAATTTGAAAATAGATAAATAATAATTAAAAATATCACATCAATGAGTTAGATCATTGAATTTAAAAGAGTTGAGTTAATTTCAACTCCAAGTATGTCAATCAATGTGTTTGGCTCGAGTTTGGTTCACAATTATCAAAACCCATGAAGGCCCCTAAATGACATAGAGCAATGTTGTGGTGGAGCCGTGGTAGGAGCAGTAAAAAAATTACTCTCTCTCTCTCTCTCATTGAGTCATGGAGCATGGGTTTGCATCATGGTGGTGATTCTAATAATGGGTGGAGGTTTCAATCATAGCGAGTGATAAGTTCTGCAAGGATAACGGTTTTAGCCCTCGCAGTGATCATTAAGTGTAGTAATTTCATATAAAGGACCTATTTTATTTTATTTTATTTTATTTCACTAAAAGTAACTATAAAGAAATTTATCTAAACAACTCAAAGTAAAGCAGTGACTTGCTTCTTGCTCCCTCACCCCTTTTCATGGCTTGTGAACTTATATCCCTTTAAATTCCGCTATTTCCCATGAATAAAGATATATTGTCCACCTATACATTAAAATAAAGGGTTATGTACCTATTTTTTATAATATACAATTTCTTTTATGTGTAACATTTTTTTTAATTCTTGTTACTTTATTTTAATTTTTATAATATATATATATTTTTTCATTTTAGTGCTTGTAATATATATCATATTTACTTTGAAAAAGAAATTGTGGAGACTAAAAGTAACCATTCATACATTACAAAGACTAAAACAAAATCACAATGACAAAAAAAAATTTATTTTACACAAATAAAACACATATTTATGTCTTAAAATAAATTATATATACACGTACACTTCGTACTTGAAATATAATAAAATACAACAGTTTATTATAACATGAGTCAGTGAGTCACAAAGTATTTTTATATAACATAATATTTACCTTGTACTATTCAAATAAAAAATATTTTTATAAAATTACTTTGGAGATAATATTATTAAACATAAACAATAATTTTAATCCAAATAAACACATGTGAGAAAAAATATATATGTATTTTTCAAAATGTATGCAAGCCAATCCTGGAACAGGAATTGGTCTCTGACTCCTCATTGGGACCACCCATGTGTGGGTAGGGACTCCCCTTGTATGAAAATAAAAAATCATAGACTAGTTTTACATTTATTTATAATCTTATGTTAATTTAATTCGTACATTAAAAGATTAATATGTCTAATTCGGAAACCATCATGCATTAAAAATTATGTAAAATAAGTATGAGGTTAAGTATGAGGTTATGATTTAAAATTCAAAGTGAACCCATTTTACCTAGATCCAAGGGACATAAGATTTACCAAGACATTTTCTTGTTGGCACTAAAATGAAGTTATAAATTGCTCCCTAGTCCCTACCTTTAAAAGACTATTGGAAAACCCGCGGGAACTCCAAACGCGCTGTGAAAATTAACGTTAGCCCTCTTATTTCCCCACGCAATGCTCATCTTTTACTCTCATTCGTGTCTCGCCTTTAATCTATCAATACAATGATGACACTTTACTATCAACATCAACCGACTTATGGATAAATTAATTACGTAGTTAATGTTAAAAAATAAAAGATATTTTAAATAACTTTTTTATTCTACTTGTACAGAAAATAAATTATTATAATAAATAATTTTTATTTTAATAATTAATATATATATATATATATATATAATTGTGAAAATTAATTAAACTCAATGCAGCATAAAGAAAAATATCTAAATATATAAATAAAATAATAATAATAAACGATTGAAAACATGATAATATCAAAGTATTAGGAAAACTAAATTACATTGTGTCTCAGTTTCAAAACCATCAACATCTATAATATGAGTTAATACATTAACTTGAAGAAAAAAAAACCTTATAATTAATTTATAAAATGTGTAATATTAAAATTTTATAAAGATGTAGTAATTCAAATAAGAAGGAAACAAAATTAAATTTTTAATTTATATAGTGATTATGTAATGACTCCGGAACACATTTATCATGGAAAATAAACTTGATGAAATGCCTGAAAAATTGGTAAAATTAGAACTAAAGTAGACATGTTTTTCTTTTATAATGTTATTGTAAAAAAAATGCAAGTCCCCTATGCCAGAGTCTAAAAGCCTTCTTTATAAACGACATTAGTAGTAGATGTTGAACCATTTACCTCATCGTCACAAATAAGAATTTTCATACCACTGCGAGATGTAAGTCGAGATATTGCGACATATAATTGGTCATGTGAGAAAACAGGTTGTGAAAGATAGATGACAACATGCTTCAATGATCGTCCTTGACTTTTATTTATTGTCATGGCAAATGAGACATTTATTGGAAATTGTCTACATTAAAATTTGAAAGGAATTCTCTTATATGATGGAATTAAGGACAATCGAGGAATAAAAACCTTTTGTCCAATATTACTGCCTGATATCACTTTTACCTCCAAAACAGATTTACCCAACTGAGTTATGATAAGTCTAGTTCCATTACACAACCCAAAAGATTGATCTATATTTCTCAACAACATTATCGGAACACCAACTTTCAATTTCACCTCATGATTTGGAAGTCCAGAAGCAGTGATAGTATTAAGGAATTCAGGGGTATGAACATCATCAGGTGTACCTAATTGCCCTTCAGTAGAACATGTACTATCTAAACTCAAATATGACTTTAATTTTCCAGGAATCAATGATAGTATGCAATCATTTAATTGGTTAACAATTTCATTTGTTGGTGCTAATATGGCTCTATGTTGGAAAAACGTGTGGTCAGTCATGTTTCGCAAAAATGATGGATAAGTGATATCAACAATTGATGAAAGAGAGTCACTTGTATTCTTTATAAGCAAAGTCTTTAGGAAATTCAATGTTCATCATCTCCTTGACCAACAGTTCCATCACCGATGCTCAACACCCAATCTGAAATTTTTTTAATCTTTACAGCATTAGAAATTGAATTAGTAGTCTGAAGTTTCATGTTTTTTGTCAAAGTGAGAACCTCACAGAATTTCCAAAGATAAGAAGCACTAATGTTGGCATTGACAATATCTTGTCTTGTCCTTTAGGAATTACAGGTAAAATCTGTTTTAAACCACCTCCTAAAATTACCACTTTTCTTCCAAATGAGAGATATCAACAATAGTAAATTGCAAAATATCTCTAAAAGTTCTATCAACTACTTCAAAACAATGTTTATGAGTCATGGGAGCTTCATCCCAGATTATCAATTTAGCTTTAATTATTAATTGAGCTAAATAGCTTTCCTGTTTAATATTGCAAGTAAAGCCCTCATCCACATTAATTGGGATAGCAAATCTAGAATGTGTTGTCCTGCCACCGGGAATTAGCAAAGCTGCTAATCCACTTGATGCAATTGTCAAAACAATTTCTCCCACACATATTAAAGCTGTTAATATAGTGTTCCAAACAAATGTCTTACCAGTGCCACCATAACCATAAAGAAAGAATAATCCACTCCTATTTTCAGATACCCTATCTTATCATATACACCCCTTTGCTCAATTGTCATTGATGACAATAATTGCTTATGTTCCTCTGCCAACTTTTGGCTATCATAATTCAACTCATCATAAATTAACCTATATTCATTAATGTTGAAAGAAATGACATGTTTGGTTTAGGCATTGTTGGGAAATTTGCCAAACTTCTATTTTTACTCTGCAACACCTTTCTATCTTAGCAAGCGCGAAATTTATCAATTGATTGTCATCCAATACCAAATCTATGATAACAAAAATGAAACTTTGGTTATGAACAAATTTTTAAGTTTATGAAAATAAATGAAATTTAAAATTAAAATATAAATTTAGAAATGCAATCAAATAAAATTACAATTTACCAATTTTATCCTTCTTACTTATCATTAATTTTTTTTAAGAGGAGTGAATTAGCTTATATATATATATATGATCAAAATTGGTATACAAATACCAACAAAAATGATAATTATCAATTAGAAAGAGATTAAGAAATGAGAGAAAAAAAACATATATTCTCACCATCTTTAATAAGAACAAATAAAGAAAAAAATTAATTTTTTAAAGAACAATAAAATATTTCATAAAAAGATAAAATAAAAATCTTTAAAATTATATTTTATAATATCGACCAGATGAATATTATATATGCATGGCATGTCAGGCATGGAAACTAAAAGTGGGATTCAGGGCGACAGAAATGCCCCCCACACTTTAAACTTGTTGTTGTTAGTGAGTCTCTCTTTGTCATTTGCAGTTGTACCATGTGAGTGTGACTGTCCTTCCTTCCTCCTCTAATGGAATCACGTGAATGCTTCATCTTTCTCCTTCCCATTTTCCATTTATACCTATATGGTTTTTGTTCGTCCCTGGAGTATCCACTGCCGATAGCAGTGACTAATTTTCTTGCTACGTTGGAGGCACCTCAAAGGGTGGGATAACTAGCCTCAAGATTTAACGCGACTACTACACAAGGCAGGATTCGAACATCTGACCTTGCTTATACACCCAGGCTTCGCTATATGCTGTGATTTTTTGTGCCCTCCTTTCAAATTTCTTGCTTTCAATTTTTCACTGTACCAGCGGGGATAACAACTGTTGTCAAATTCCATTTTATATATAAAAAAAATTGTTTGGTTATTAGCCAGAATTGATTTTCTTTAAAACCTCAATTTGACTACGCTTTTGCATTCAGTTTTGTTTTACAACAAACCGTACTTTCAACATACAAAAAACATCCAAACATAAAACTCTCTTCGTATATTTATATCATTTTTTTTTTCTTGTCACATCATGTTACTCGTCATGTTTATATTTTGATTCTCTCCATGCATGTAACAGCATACAAGTTATGATGCAACATTTTCTAGATTGTAGACAACGAATTTGAGCCATTTAAAATTGAAAATTAATTAATGATCAAGTAAAATAAAATATATATGATTGTAATGAATTTAGTAATTCTTGGATTGTTACGAAAGGCTTTATTGTTAAAATGAGAGTACCTGCTAGTGACTGCAAAGTAGAAAATGACGAGGGAGTGTGAAAAGTAGTTTGCTTGGTTGTTAATATGAGCGTTTAATCTGTAAAAGATCTGAAGAAAGGCTTGGATGATATGGACTGTACCAGCAGAGATAAAGAATGTGCAGACATTGGGAATTTGTTCCACACTCTTGGCCCTCCCATTAACCCACCAATAAGCCTGATTACTAGGCCCATCATATGTAAGTAACAAAGTTGTTTTGTTTTTTTCTTTAGGTGTTGAGCTTTTATTCTGCAGAAACGAGTAAAAAAATAATTGTTAAAAATTAAAAGTAGCTAGATATCCAACCAATTTATTTAAAGCATATATATATATATATAAACGAGAATAGTTATTATATTACTCTATCAAAACAATATTATTTAAGGCTACACATTTCAATGAAATGTTATTCTCAATCTTTTGAAAATGCTTATAGTCTTTTAAAAAGACTTGTCGATTGTCTTTATTCTTAGTCATCTAAAAAAAAAATTCTTAATCTCAATGAGTTAGTCATTTTAATTTTATAATAAAACTATAGGGAGTGTCTGTTAATGTTATGACACTCCAAAATAGTGTATAATAATTGGATGAATTACAAGTATAAATAAATCCCAGTTATGCTACCTTCAATAAAAGGTATAATTTGGTGGTTACGGAAGATGATCATTATTGATGACGTCGAAGTTGGTTGAAAATTGCTTCTTTTAAATTAAAAAAAGAAGTAAATTACTTTCCCCGACTTACAATAATTGTCGTATTTTAAAAATCATACAATAAGTGTCATATTATTATTTTAATATAATATTGCATTATTTTTAATAGAGAAGATTAATCATAAAATTAGTATAATAAATTACTACTGGATAATAATTTTTTATGTTTAAGATTTCAGCATATCTTATAAAAAAATATTTAATTTAGTATGTGAAATTTAAAATATCTATATTTAATATCTTAAAATATATAAAGTAAGAACAATTATAATTATGAAATATAAATATTAATTGCCAAATAAAATATACGTGAAAAAAGTAATTAATATCATTTAAAAAGGTGTAAAATATAGAAAACTTGAAAGAAAGAAAAAAGAGTCTAAAACATTAAAAAAAATCATGATATCAAAGAAGTATTCTCTTTTATTTATTTATATAAAATAATTTAGGATGACATTTATCATTAAAAAAAGAAAAGTAATTTTTTTTGTTACTCTTTCATGTATATATGCTAATGACCCCAATTTCTTTATGGAAACAATTCATGTTAGGAATTCAGTAAAGTATTTTGAATCAACCTTTCAGTTTATATATAATGTTAAATATTTCAATAGAGGAGATTAATTCAGTTCTATCTCATTCATACATTATCTGTTTTGGTCCGATTGAGTTTTAATCTAAGCAAAATTTGGGATTGAGTAAAGGCAAAAGCTAAACTTATCTGGATTTGAAAACTTGTCAGATAGGATTAATTTCCGATATGAGACAATAAATTTGAGATCCGAACAAGTTATATACGGTATAGTTTTAAAATTTAAATGAGATTATATAATTCAGTTCTATTTCATGCATTGTTGTGCCTTCACTGTGACAATAATAAATTTAAAACACCATAACTTTTATTTTCATAAAGGATATTAATAATCTAAATTTGAATTCAATAATTAAATATCGTTATAAATTCGTGGTAATGCAAAAATATTTATAAAATTATGACCTTACTTGATTTGAAATATTGGTCAAAATAAACACAATGTTTTTTTTTAAAGTCAAGATAATTAAAATATATTTCTTAACAAAACAGATTTGGTGTCAAAATAAATACAAAAATTGAATTTGTTGTCATTAGAACATGTACTAACATTTAACAAAAATGATTTATAGATCACAATATACACAATGAGGTTGAACATTAATATGAAACCCTCTATCCACAATACTCATACTCATAAATACTAATGAATTTAAAAAAAAAAAAAAGATTTGTCTAAATACATTTTTACTTGAAAGAAATAATAGTTTATAAAATACATAAGATAGAATATTCACATTTGATTTAAAATAGAACAAGTTCAAAACACAAATATCTCCAAAATAATGATTAGATCATAGTGATTGTTCAAAAATAATTCATAAATTTAAGGATTAATAGCATTTCTAAACAAGATGAAATAAATCAAGTATACAAAATATCATCATTATGATCCTCCTCGATAGATGCTAGACAAAAGATGAAAATTTTTATGATGGGCTTGGGGCCTAGTATGAGCTAATTGATACATTAAGTAATTCATAAATTATTTGATTTTGTCCAAATTCTACAAGTGTGCCGATGGTAAGGGTTGTTTACTCCAATGTTCATGATAATGGAAGTACCTTCAAAGACATTTCAACACTCAAGTTAAAGAGAAATGTAGGGTAAGTGTAAAAATTAGGTTAGTATAACATATAGTGTAAAAATTAGGTTTATAAAAATAACTTTCTTATTAAATTTTCATGGTCTAACTTGACTTGTTTGACTTATCGAGTCAAGTCAAATGGGATTTATTTTTTATGAGTCTCAAAATAGAATTCAACATAATTTATTTATGCCTAATACACTATATAATTGAATTAGGCCACTTTTGATAACTATAATTTTTTAAAAAATTATATACTTTTGTTATATTTTTTTTATGTGTAATTATTAATTAATATTATTATTTTCATTTCAAAAATTAAAATATCTTAAACGTAATTTTCATGTTAAATGTTTTTACCAAATTTTGTAAGTGCGTTGAAGATAAGAGTCTTTTTTCTTTCTTTCTTTTTTGTAGTCTAATGTCCATGGCGACGAGATACCTACAAAGATATTTCAACGCTAAGTTAGACAAAAGGCTAGAATTGATGTAAAAATTAGATTAGAATAATAACAACTACTCTTGATGTCAGTTCAACATAACCAAATTAAATTAAGATCATAAACTTTAAAAAAAATTAAGATCTTAATAACAATTATTTATCATTTTAAAAATATTCAAGGTGAACATATATATTAAACCTAAATTATATTAATATGTTTTATACATAAAACTGTAGCAATGAAATAAAGATGAAGGGGAGTCAGAATTTTTAATTTTGTTCAATAGTTTTTTTATTAATAAAAATTAGTAAATTAAAAGAATTAAAAGAAGCAAAAGGACAACACACCGAAACAGCAGTAACATCAAATTCAAATCTATCCGTTTCCATTCGAAAAAAGAAAATTAGGGTTACGGTTTGTATTCTCTTGGCCCAAAAAAGAAAGGGGAAGAAAAAGAATAACCGTTCCTTTACGATGCAATCCTATGCAGTTTCGGTCCAAGGCAACAGCAAGAAGCTCCACTCTGTTCCAAGAAAGCACAACATCTCAATCCAAACCGGCAACGATGGAGAGAACCCGACGTCGGATGCTCAGGTCGCCGGCAAGAAGCTCCGGCGACTCCCGCACGTGTTCAGTCGCGTCCTGGAGCTCCCCTTCCGCTCGGACGCCGACGTGGCGGTGGAGGAGGCCCCCGACTGTTTCCGCTTTGTGGCAGAGAGCGATGGAATGTGCAACGTGAGGGTGCACACAGTGGAAATCCATCCCGGCCTCACCAAGATCGTGGTGAGGGACGGCGGCTCGGTGGATCAGCTCGAACTCGACATGTGGAGGTTTCGGCTGCCAGAATCCACGCGGCCGGAGCTCACGAGCGCGGTGGTTGCCAACGGCGAGCTTATCGTCACGGTGCCGAAGAAGCATAAGGAAGAGCATGGGGATGATGAAGACTCGTGCTTATATACAGTATAGTGAAAAATGTATGAGTGAGTCTAAAAATAATTGATTCTTTTGCTAATTTTTTTCTTGCCTTCGAAACTTAGTATGTAGATTAAATTTCAGTTGTTTAGAAATTAGATTTTCTGAATATTGTTGTTACTGTTGCTGAATAATAAAAATAAATATTCGGAAAAAGCTTTATTCATGCTAATGACAATTTTCGTCTTTTCTTTTCAATTTTTATTTAGAGTGTAAGCTCTTGCATTTTTTTATTATTATTATGAGATTGGTTTTTTTTGTTAGAGTTAGTAAATCTTTAACATTCTATGTTTATAAGAACTCGTTTTTAAAACATGAATTCCCTCGCGTATTTTACTATTTTTATTTTTATTTTATTTTATGTTAATGTTAAATACAATTTACATATTTTTATCAAAGCTCCGTTATGTCCTATTGTTGATTTTATAATCTTTGATTTATATACAGTTGCAATATATATGATTGATTTCATAACTCATATATGTTACTTATGTTAGATAAGAATGATCACTATATCTCTAAGATAGTTTAATGATATTTGAACAAAGTAAATTTTTAAGATATTGGTTGATGCGTTGTATAAGTTGGGGATGAATGTTTAAGAGAGGGTTGAAGCTTGATGTTTCTAATTACAATGCTTTGATAAATGGTCAGTGTTTAAGGGATAATGTATGTGAGACAAAAAAGGTGTTTGATGGAATAATTGAAAGAGAGATGTTAACTAATGTTATTATTTACAAGTCCTTGATTAATGAGTATTGAAAGATAGGTGCAACATCATGTATTATGAGAGATTAGATATAATTTTGAAACTAACTATTAATAGAACTATAACTGTATATTAATCTAACTTCGTCCTTCCCCTATAGTGTGCAATAACTATGTTGTTTTTAGAGATAAAGTATAAATAGTATATAATACCATTAACTATCCTTTCACACAAATTATTTAAATATTTCAATGTAAAGTAATCTAGTAAATTATTTAATATTAATATTTCAATTATTTGAATAACTAAATTATATAAAAATATTAAGCAAACCTAAATAGGCAACATTCTACTAAGATTGATCTAAGATAATATTTTTCTAATCCAAATTATACTTAATTTAATGGAATCCTACATATTTATGCATAGGTAGATTAACTACCAAGTAACATACATCTTAGTTAAAGTTATTAATTTGAATCCATCCGTGATGAGTTATTAAATTTTTAGGTTAGACATCTTAAAAAGAAAAAATATGTTTCAAAAACTTGATTTAGTTTACACATTTATGAAAATTGTCATTACTAAGAATAAAGTTTTCTATAGAACACTTTTTTCATGATTCAACAACAACAACAAAAATATTTAGATAAACTAATTTCAAAAACAACCTGAAATCTAATCGACATATTAAGGTAAAGTTTCGAATGCAATAAGAAATTAACAAAAAAATCAATAATTCCCCTACTCACTCATTTATTCATCACTGTACTAGTATCATCGTCCACATCCTCTTCCTCATGTTCCTTTGGTACTGTAACAATGAGCTCCCTGTCAATAAAACACCGTGTTCACAAGTTTTGACTACATAAATTCTAACAACTGAAACTCTCACATGTCGAGTTCGAGATGATTGAACAAGAGTTCTATTGTTCCGTTGGATGTCACATATTGGTCGTGTTGATTGAGGTTGATTTTCACCGTATTCACGCCACTAATTCAATCAGTTTCTACTACAAAGCCAAAAAAGTTGAAGAATAGAAAGGCCAGTTTAAAATATTAGAATTAATAAATAATTATTAAATTTTATATAAATATGTTTTTTAAATATTTCAATAACAAATAATTGAAATTATATTTATTTATAATTAGGGTAAACATATTTGTTCAAAGAATGCCAATCATTAGTTTTACTTGTTACTAAGAATCTTTTAATTTTATAATAAAAATTTATATATTTGTTAACGGTATTTTTTTATATTAAAAAGTAAACGCATCAGTTAATTCCTAAAAATATACTAAGTTAGAATAAATTGTGTTACATATTAATTTATCTTTTACGCCTAAAAAAATAACGATAGAACAAAAAGGAAAATAAAAGAAATATATAGGTAGAAGAAAAACAATTTTTTTAATTATCTTAAAGTTAAACAAACACTAATCAAGATCTTTTATTTATCAAATTAATATAAAGAAAACAATATTAGCATTTCTATAATACAACTTTTAAAACTAAAATGTTATATAAAAAAAGATAAAATTTAAACATAATTCTTTATTTCAAACATCAAATATAAAATTACGTAATGTATAGATTTTATAATTAAAAAAATATCAGGGTCAAGGTGTCATAGACCACCATGTAGATTCGTCCGTGATAGGATGAACTTTTATGATGTTGTTGTGGATGCTACAAAAAAAGTATACTATTAAAATTAATACCATGACAATGATAAAAAAAAAATGTCTTCTCTATCACAAAGTCGTGATTATTTTTCTTTGTCATTTTCCCCTTTCTTTTTTGGGTGAAAATGATAGAAAACTCTAATTTTCTTTCAATTTGTATCCATAATGCGTTTTGAATGAAAAAAAAAATTATTATCTATTTTATTTGTTAATTTTCCAATTACTACAAAAATGGATAAAATTGGGATGTGATAATTATGTGAGTTAAGGAGATGGAGAAAAACAAAATATATTTGTGATAACAGATTCTTACTTGTTTCAACATGAGTTCTGACAAGGAGAACAACTTCACACTTCAACATCGATGGTAAAGACATCTACAAAGACATTTTAACTCAAATTAGAGGAGAGTTTAAATTTGGAATGCATTTAGATACCTAGTGTGTTTAAATAGGTGTTCAATTCTCATCATTTAGCCAAAATTTTAGTTATTAAACAAGAAAATATCTTATCTATTAGATAAGAATAATATATTTGATTGTTATGATACAATATCTTTAGAAAATAATCATGCAAAAAAACATATTTTTAGTTGTTAGAAATTAACCACTTAAGAGATAATTATTAGTTTGGTATAATAATTTAAATTACTTTTTTAAATTAATCTTCTTTTTTCTGTTTAATCATTTTTGATGTAGTTAAAGTATTTTTTTAAAATTAATCTTTCCCCTTTACACTTAATTATATTTTACTTAATTAATTAATCTTTGTAACATAAATATATCTCTGCATATTGAGAAAATTGGGACGTCCCTTATTCATATTAGAACTTATATTTAACTTTAAAATTTAATTAAAATACATTAAATTTCTTTCATGTATTCTCAATTTAATAATTACTATGTATAATAATAATAAATATAATGTATAATATGATTATTAGTTTTTTATAACAGCTATTTACTTAAAATATTTTTTAATTAATTAATTTTTAAATAAAGTCATAAGTTTATGCATGCTGTGTATCTTCTGTGTGTTAAAAAACGTTGACACTGATTAATTTGTAAAATAAAAAAAAATTTGGATATGCACAGGAAATGTTTTCTCGTTGGAGAAATATCATAATGGGCCGAGTCCCGAACTTTATTTAAAGCGAGGGTTAATTATTATTATTCTTTTACAACATAAAGGTAATGAGTCACTGGGTTAGTGGGATTATAATCTTTGTTGGATGAAAATTAACCGTTTTGATATCTAATAATAACATTAATTGAAACATTACAATTGTAATATTATACATTAATAAATGCATTTACACGGTGATTGTCATTATCATTTTTATATATCTAAATTTAAATTTAAATATGTTTTAAATATGATTTTAAAATAATACACCATTCAATAAATTTTATATTGTGTAATATATTTTTCAATTATAATTGTAAATTCATAAATGCAAGCAATATATATTATTTATATAAATGAGGATTATGGTCAACCATCTAATAAGTAATTTATGGTGGTGCATTAATTTACATCATTAGATCTATTTTATCTTATACTAGTGGAGTCAAGATCTTATACTAGTGGAGTCAAGGTACTGCCTGCCTTTATTAAAAATAAAATAAAAATAAAAATTAAATAATAAAAGTATATTAATTTAATTAGTATTATAATTAATCCATTAGTTTCAAGTTCTTAAATGTGATTAAAAAATATTTTTTTTAATTTTTTAAAATAAAAGAGTATAATGATAAAAAAAAGTGAAGACCAAGATAGTTAGTAAAAAGGGTATCCCCTTTATATATTAGTAGATGTATAATCTAAGCATATACCTTTTGTAGCGGATTATTCATCTTTTACACCAAATTATCCACCAATTCGGTCTGTCTCCACGACGAAGCGGAAGCAATCGAGGGGTGGAGCAATATAAAAATAAGAATTAATAAATATGTATTATATTTTATATAAATGTGTTTTCTTAAATAATTCAATAACATATAATTAAAATTATATTTACATAAAGTTAAGCTAAACATTTTTTTAAAGATTGCAGATATCATGCATTCGTTTTTTATGTCACTAAGAATCTTTCTGTAATAAAAATTTTAAAAATAAAATATTATATAAAAATAAAAATAAATAATATTTAAATATTATTTTTATATAAAATATCAAATAAAAAATTACTTAATATATAACTCTACAATTAAGGGGGAAATATCAAGGTGAAGATGTCTTAAAACATCATGCAGGATAAATCTTAGTGTTGTTGTTGTGAATATGCTACGATAGATTGCACTACCAAAATTAACATGGATGATGATCAAAACTGTTTTTCCTATCATAAATAAATTGTTCCTCTTTTTTGTCGTTTTCCCCTTTCTTTTTAGGATGAACATAATAGGAACCCTAATATTTTCTTTCAATTGAATAAAAGATATTTGATCTATTTGTTAAGAATAATGTGCTTTATATTATAATATGATATCTTTAGGAGATAATCATGTAAAAATATTTTTTCATTTAGTTTTTAATAGAAAAGATAAAGACTCAATGTGCTTGTTGAATGTGAAGAATAAGTAAGGTTGGGCAAATGAGAAAACTT